TACATTAAGGGGAAAGCCAGTGTTTGGCCTGTGGGCCTCTCACCTAAGTGAGGAACTTGGGCACCTCAAAATTCCAGGAATTTACATGAAAATAATCTCTTAAATGGGATGCTTTGCATGTGGATGTGTCTGTCCTTTTCTCTTACTCTCTTCTGGGAGAGCTTACAGTGTTGACTTTGCTGCTCCGAGTTCAGGCATTTCCGTTAGTCCCTTAATTTAGTTGAGATGAATAGGGGCAGTATTATCAGCACAGATATTCTGTGTTGTATCCTTCCCACATCAGTCCTGAACTTAAAACGTGATGTGAAGAGATCACATTGTACCACACTGACCATGCAGTGGTCTTTGTATTGGGGGGATGTGCTTTTGAAGGGAGTGTAAATGGGTAACACAGGGGGTGTTAGTGTAGTTACTTGTCACATCTGTCTGAGAAATGGACTTTCAGAAAACTTGGTTCTGAAACATCCTTTTGCTGTCTAACATAGCATTTCCAAGTATAATTCCTTCTAGCTATGCCAGTGATAATTTGTATCAGTGGTAGTGGAACTGATCACAAAGTAAAATTACCAGGCGATTTAGGTCAGGTCAACCTAGCTATTTTTATTTCATGGCTTAGAAGATACCTTTGATTCTCAAATGCATTGTATAAACGTTTAAAGAGTGGTATGATGAGAAAACCACATGTGTTAAGGTTAATGGATGAAAAAATTAGTGGGCTTTTTTGTCTGTATGAAATTTTGACTAGGCTTTCTGTCGGAGTCCAATTGGAGAAAACCCCATGTTTTGATCCCACAAATTAAATTAAGACACAGACAAGGTCAAGTTCCATAATTGATCAGTTGGTTTATTGTGAAAAGACAGTTATTATAAAAAGGGAAACTAGTGTAATAAAAGGGATAATAATAGGACAGATTGGAACAAAGGCAGAAAATGAAGCAAGAATTCGGGATGCAGAGAGGGAGTCACCACCGTGGATCCGGCGATGTCTCGAGGATCTGTTGTTTTTGGTGGTGGGAGTTCTGTGGGGTTTGTAGTCAGTATCAGAGCAGAGTGTCCCCTAAAAGTCCATAGTAGTCATTGGAGGTGGGTGTCCTCATGGAGGTGTCCTTCTGGAGTTGTCCCCTTGAAGGTACCCTGTGGACTGTGTCTCAGGGAGTTGTCCTCATTGTGATATCTCGTGGAGGATGTCCCTCAGGGTCTATAGTAGTCATCGGTGGAGAATGTCCTCATGGAGGTGTCCTTCTGGAGTCAACGTCATGGCAATGGCTCCTTCTTGTGATTACTTCTTCCCCCTTTTATAGTGAGTTGGAGGGAGTACCTATGGTCTTCATGTCATGTATTACACAGTCCTGATGGACCAGTTTCCCTGGCCTTGCAGCAATTCTTGGGATAATGGATAGTAATTCCTCACACCAGTCCTCCAATCAATGGACGGAAGAGTCTTACCTCAGCTCTTTCGTACTCATCCCTCAGGCAATGGATGGTGGAGTACCAGTTCAGCTCCTCATACCCTTCTCCCAGGCAATGGATATTGGAATCTTAACTCCTCCCACCCATCTCTGAGACAAAAGATAGGTGGAATCCCATCTCAGCTTCTCATAGGAATCCTTGAGACAGTGGACAGTGAAATCTGTTTTCAGGTCAGTCTCTCACACTTTCCATGGCACAGAATGCATGTTTCTTACATAGGTTGCCTGTCTTATTCTGTAACATAGATGGATGTCATTATCTAAAGAAGTGATTTTTTTAAACCTATTTTTTGTCTAATCCATGTAATTTAGTATGTGGCTCCATGTATTATTTATTGTCTAGAATTCAAATCCTCTACTGAGCACAGAAGTGATGGGAATATTTATTATTTCTGTTTAATATTAATGAAGAGTTGAATGAAATGTAGAATATATTCCTGCTAGGAAGTGACCATATCCTAGCACCCAATTCTGTTAAATTAAGGCAAGACACTGAATTCCCTTTGAGACAGTAAAAATTCAAAAGAATTAGAAAAGGCATAGATGCAATACAGTCTTTTCTGAAGATTTGTGACTCCTCCCACTCATAATTCATAATAACTTTTAATACAGGTAGCACATTTTTGGTTAAATTATATTTGAACTGCTTTGAAAACGGTGGCAGGGACCTTTTGTATAGTAACTTGATGGAAGGCACCTCTCCTTTGTCACTGGGGCATACAGTATGGAATGGGTACTCCTATAGGATGTTCCCACCCAGGCTTGCACTGTTCATGCATTTTGCGTTACGCCCATGGCTGAGTCACCATGAGACCGAGTAGGTAAAAATGGAGTCCAAACCTGTTTACATTTTACAAATGATAAGCATCAGAAAACAGGTTTGTAATGGAAAGTGTAGTGCAATGTTAGCTGTAGGTTACCCTGTGAGTGTTCTTGGGCAGAGGTGAATGGGGGTGGAGGAGACTGCAGCAAAATGCACTTCACTGTGAGTTCAGTTGCAACTGAACTCTGTGAAGAGGCATTATTGCTCTGAAGGAGAATGTAATTTAAGGTCTGATAGAACTGCATCTCTGAAGTATCATACTGCTTTGGCTAATGTCATGGTGGTAAACTTTTTATTGGTGCTTCTATGGCTCTCTTCCACCTTTAATTTCTTCAGCTGAAGTTCTACTGACAGGTCTTTTGTAGTGTGGGATACCTGTACACATTGTAAGACAATTTTAAAGGAAGATATTTAGAAGTTGCTTCTAATTTTCCAGAGCAAAAAAAGTTCTGTTTGTGATTTCTTGTTTGGAAGAGTTGTATGATACAAGCTGAAATTATGCAGAGGATTGCTGTATGTGATGAATGAAAAGATTATTTCAAAGAATATGGCTGTGTATACCTACACGTTTAGTGAAGTTGCAAACTTTATATATATTAATTAAAAAGTATGTATATATGTTGCCACTTTAGTAGGGATACTTTATTAGCTATTACACAGATGAATAATCCATTCAAGATGTTAATACTTGTTGCTGTAGTTTAAAGGAACTTTTTAATTAAAGACTGTAAAGCAAGTGTATAACTTTCAGATATATTTAATTTATTTAATTCTAGCTATAGATTTTTTTTCTTGCCTTGCAGTAAGTGGAAAAGAATTTGTATAAAGTAATAAAACATGCAGTGAAGCAGATGTAAACCTTTGAAAACACCAGATCGTTTATATAGGTGGTTCTGTTTCAGGGATACCTAACAGTGCTTGGAGCCTCTACCATCTCTTGAAGGTGCTGTAGAGTTCCTGTCTTACACAGCTGGGTGTCAAGGATGGGTACTTTTGTCCTTGTCATTCAGACTGGATTCTCGGTTAAAGAAATGAGGCTTCTGCAGGGACAAGAAAATCATCATTAATTCTGCAAACCCTTGTTTGGCCACCGTTGAAATTGTTTGGACCAAAATAGAGCTCTAAATTGTGCTTTTCTGTAATACTATTGACGATATTCTCTAGTGTCTTTTAGTTGCTTTTAGGCTATCTTCTGCGATTTATTTTCCTTTATACTAGTGGAGTTTATGCAATATGATTTCCTTATTGCTGGAGTGGACTTGAAGAGGCCAATCTTCCCTCAGCTGCCTGCTGTACTGTTCCCTGTGGAAGACTAAAGTTTTGTGCCCTCTTGTGGTCAACACACCAAGGAAAGCATCAGGCAGTAAATCTGGTGTATTACGGCCCTATTATCTGCTAGGAAACAAACACTAAAATATTAAGGTTAAAAAACATAAGCTTGTTTAAAGACAAAAATATCCATTGTTACACGTACAAAGATAAGTCAAATAATACCACCATTAACATCATAGTCAGGTAATTCAGTAATACTGGCATCTTTAAATCTGCATTATTTACAAATAACATGTCCTAATTAACTATCAGAAGAGGCCAAGAAAAACATTGTTTGATACAGTGGTAACATACAGAGACTTGGAATGTTTTTAAAAGTGGGGAGCAACCTCATTTTTAGCTACATCTTCATTTCATTAATAAATTGTCTTCATTGGTAATGCTCCCAATTTTTGTGTATATTATGTCTTGTGCTGAATTGGAATATACTAATTCTTAAGTTTATCTAATTATTTTTAATGCAGTGCCTGAAAAAGAGGTTTATTTAGGGAGAGCTCGGTAGCACAGGCAGTTAGTAGAGACAAAAGTATTTAAACACCCTTTAGGAGAGACAAAAATATATTCAAACACCCTTAGAAGTTAGACTCAGGCACTGTTAAAAATATTTCTAGTTCTCAATCATACGTATGATAACAAGAAGTCCCTGTTAGAGAAAGGTTCAGGGTAAACAACGCTTACTTTTCTGTGCTTAAGTGTACTGAACTTTCAGCATTTCTGCAAAATAGATAACATCTTCTGAGCTATTTGAATTGGCAAACAGAAGCAGCAAAGAGGCATTTCAGACCCTGGAAGAAACAAAATAGGCAAAGGCCATATGATACCAGCAAGGCAGGTGCCTGTGGTGGGAGGAGGAAAGAGTTTGGTTTCTGGTCCTCTAACCAAAGGCAACTGCTCTGGTCTTTCCTTTTCCTCCCCTTCTACACAGTGACATACCTGAACGGGTTCAGTATGCTCCTCATGACAGTAAATAGCAGTTTTTCCAGCTCATTTCACCAAATAGTTACATCAGGTGCTCTCTTCTCTCCCTTCACCTCACCTCTCCCATATGTTCCTTTGAAGAGTGATAGCATACACTGAATTGAAGATACTAACTGGAGATGACTGTACCGTGTGAACTATGTGGGCAGTGCTTTTCTAACTACTTACTGTTTTATGTATCCCTTCAGAAAATAGCTGTGGAAAAAATACTGAAACGGCAGCACGAGACCTGTAGGTCCGGTGGATGTTTGGTTGTAAATGATACAGCAGCTTCCTTTGCTCAGTTACGTAGGATGATTCTGCAAGTTCTACACAGAACTTGTTGCTGAAAAAAGCATTGGGTGGACCACCTGCTTCTGAATGTTTTTCACACTGTTGCTCTCCTTTGTCCCTTGTAGGTATGGAGAGTGCAATCACACTGTGGCAGTTCCTTTTGCAGTTGCTGCTAGACCAGAAACATGAGCACCTGATTTGCTGGACGTCTAACGATGGCGAGTTCAAGCTACTCAAGGCAGAAGAAGTGGCTAAGCTGTGGGGACTCAGAAAAAACAAAACTAATATGAATTATGACAAGCTGAGCCGGGCGCTCAGATACTATTATGACAAGGTAAATTTTGTTACTCTCATGCAGACTAAGAAAATAGAAACACTAATATCTCACCTCTATGTGGAAACTATTCAAAACTTCCTCTAACTAGCTTTTACAACAGCAGTACTGAAGGCAATCACAGTGGAGGTAAGAGGGCAGCTGAAAGGTACACAGGAAAACACTGCACATCCTGTTGCCTGAGGAGGGGAGGTTTTGACCTAGGTTTACACTTACTGATGCTTTCATGTGTTGATGCATTTGGCTACCCAATACTTTCTGTAGCTTTTGACAACAATAAAATAACTGTTGATAACAGAGAACTGTTTGATTATTACAGCCTGATAGGATCTTCTGTAATGCAGGGAGGTGGTAGACAGCAGTAATAACTGCAATGCAGCAGACAGAGTGTGGCAGCTTTACCAGCGGGTATCACCCGTGTCAGAACAAGGAAAAGACAAACAACTAACTCAGCAGCATAGAGGTTGAGGTTTCACAGTTTTCATGGGAAACATATTTTGGAACATAAATCCTGTTGGCCAGTGTTTTAGCTAGTCTTTCCTGATCTTTCTGATAAATCATCTTGACAACTGTATCAGATCCTAATTTATTAGCTGGAAATACAGTGCTGAAACACTCCTACAGTTATGACAGCAGTATTACCTCAGCAGGATCTCACTGTAACTATTCCTTTGTTAATGCTCAGTGTTTCCAAGAGTTTGGACATTTTCCACTATGTCATTTTAGGACAAAGTCTGTGTTAATTTCAACAGCAGTCCAGGTTATATGTTGCTATCACTTAATCAGCAGCGATATATATAAGAGAGCACTAATGTCATGTCTTAATGCATGAAAGTGCAGAAAATAGGGTAGCAAGCGGAGGGAAAAGAAGCAGATCAGATGGTGGGTGTCAGAGCAGGGATATATTTGGGTCCATTTGTCAAGGCAGTAGTCTCATGCTGAGTTCATCTCACGTGAAGACTGTATTTGCTGTTGAATGTTAAATTTACTACCACTTGGAAACTTACCTTCTGGGTATCTCAGGTTAATGAAACATGTGCTTTGGTGGGGGTTTCTTCATCCAGTTTTTCTGCCCTTGCAAGACCTACTACATTTTGCTCCTTCTTCACAGGTACATCTGTTGAGGTTTGATAGAAATAATAAGACCCAAGAAGTCAGCACAGTTTAGGCAGCCAACTTATATCTGACAAGCTGTGGTTATTTGTGTATTCTCAGAAGCTGGTTACAGGCAGATAGTGTAGGCATACACTTACTGCAGGGCTGTTGGCTTCTGAGAGCTCCACTTTCAGCCTCTTTATTTAAAACTGAAATCTGAAATAATAACATATTGAATACAGTAATCTGGAATTTTTTAGATCACTCAATTTGTTTCCGATTTGCAGCCATCATGAGCATGCCCACAGTCTAGAAGAGGTCAGTAGAGGTTACTTACAGATAGCTCCTCTGGAAATAAAACTTCTGCAGTGTAGTGGGCATACATAAGATCACTGTCACTCTCATGAAGCCATACTTCACTTTGGCATTTAGTCCTTGGTCTTATTCTTCATCAGGAAGCAAGGTGGCAACAGTACAACAGAGAATGCAAAAACAAGAACAGCAAATAGCCAGGTTATGTGTTAGATTGCTGGCAGAGGCAGATATTTGAAGGAAATCTTTCAGACATGTCAAGGTGCTAGAGGGAAAAAAAATGCAGAGCACAAATATGGAGATGCTAAAGATTTTGCATATTCACCTTTCTCTATTTTTGACTTCAACAGGTTCAAGGAGTTTCCAAATTGTTTTGCCACCCTTTTTTGGATTAACATTGTATTTTGTTTATTGGTTAATATTAAATCTTTTCAGGATTATTTCCCCTTAACTGGAGTTTAAAAAATAACATGTCTAAATTATGTCTAAGTTTTACTGTTTTCTATATTCTTGAAGATTAAATATGGAAAAGAAGGACTGTTACAGATTTTGTATACTAAAAAGGAAAACTTCATAGCCATGCTTACTGGTCTGTTCTCATCTTGGTTTTTCAGAAGAGCTAGTGAGATGAGATTATGCAGTGAGTAACACCAGTGTTTGGCATGATTATGGCATGTTTGCTGTGTGCACAAGGCAGAGGAAACTAGATACTACTGGTGAACTCAGCCTGGTGTACTGTTGTAATGTATTATTTAGTGCACTAAATGTATTAATTATTGCACTAATATATGCAATGTGTTAATTATTGCACTATACTATATAGTGCATTAATTACTGTGCTATATGCATCTTGTGCACTGATTCGTGAAGGGCACAGTGGGGCTGGGCACTATGCAGCCAGTCTAACACAGCAGTCAAATCCCGTGCTGATTGCAAATTATCTGTGCACAACTGGATGGTTAGACTTTTCACTACTCACATTGGAATTTGGAAGGGCTCCTCCTGTAAGAATTTTTTAATTTCAGGTTTAAAGCTTTAAGTTTTGCAGTGAAATGTTTTTAGTATTTTGTCAATTAAAAGTCAGGTTTTTCCACTTAACAAGTTCAAAGGAGGCCTGATGAGAAGGCACAGAAGGATTCAGGGAGTACAGTGCAATGGCTGTTCCAAGGAGTTGGTGTGATGAATTTCCCTTCACTAAGTGCTAAAAAGGCTTCTGCTCAGCATGGGGAAGCTCGCTTCATTGTATGACTGTAACTCCTCTGATAATAAACTTGACTGGGATCAATGGAGGCAGAGTGCCTGTTGGTGAGTGAGCAGCATATCCAGGCAGAGCCCAAATACACAGTCACCGGACATTGCTTAAAAACAAGGTAGGAGAGATTTGTAGCACCTGTCCATTGAGCTCTCTCTGATCCCTTCAAGTGTAACAGCTCCTAGAGGCTCCCTTTCTCCTTTTGTCCCTTAACCCTTATTTTCTTAACCCTTACACTGTTTTCAGTTGCCCCCCCCCAGCACACACACACCTCAGGCATCTGTGTTGTCTCTGCTCGTGCAGCATCTGCCAGAGGAGTGCCTCCACAGTTTCTCTGTCACCAGGGTGACAGAGTCAGCAGGGCTCTGGCTGAGGTGATTGCTTGGTGTTCTTACACCAGCTTTCTTGGACTGTGTGCTCTCTTCTGTCTGCAGATTCCATCTACGTCTGGCACAAGGATTTGGGCTTTTTTCCAGGAGTTTTGCAGCCCAATGGAGGTCATAGCTCCTGTGGAGAGAAGGATAAGCTCCTTCTTCTCTCTGTTTTGTGATCAGGGTTTGAACCCCAAACCAAAACCATAGCTATTGCTATTTAAATTGAAGGAATAACACCTTTAGCAGAAAACAGTGTGAGCTTCTCACTCTCTGTCTGGGTGTGGAGTGTTGGGTCCTGTTGGCTCCCAAGCAGTGGAGAAAGGCAGATTGTTAGCAGAGTGCAGAGGGACAAGGAATTTCCAGCAGGTTTTGAAGTGTGAGAGATAGTGACGTAAGATAGCAGATGATGAATCCTAGTAGTCTAGCAGGGAGTGCTCAGCAGTGCGTTCAGTCCTAAATGCTTCCTATGCCTTCAGTTCAGTCTGTGCTGCATGGCACAGAAAGGGAAGAAAGTGATGAAGGAAGGAAAGGCTCCTTGGCATTCTTGTTTCTCTTCTGCAGAACATAAGGGGAAGGCCTGGTGAGGTGACTTTTGTTCTCCTCTCCCCTGGACCACTCACCATTTTGTGGGATAAACCAAGAGTAGTCTAGACCTTGAGGTAGTCTTAAAGAACCTTCTGAGAGCCTTGTCCCATCCCTTGCTATTGGCAGTGATGCATGCGTTGGCAGCTGCATGTGCTGGGGCAAATGGGATACACACTGAGCAAATGGATAAACATTGTGCTGCAGGCTGGGGAGTGGCAGTGGGGAAGACAAGAGGCAGAACTCTGGAGAAGACTCCATTTGGGTCATGGAATTATCAACAGGGACTTCTTTACCTATAACCCAAATGGTGAGACAGCATGTGAGTTTGAGGCAAGGGACAGTGATCTTTTGGAAATCATGGTGACGCATGGGATGGGCCTTCCTTTCTTGGGCTGCCCTCTGCTGCTGCTGCATAGAGCTGACACAGAGCTACTGCTTCATGGTTTGTCTTTGAAATTATTCACCATGGAGAAGCAGAAACTGATCACTGGATAAATGTGGGTTTATGAGCTCTGCTTTTTGCTTGGGGGGAACACTGGCTTGTTAAAATTCATCATCTGGTTCAGCTGAACTTAAAAGTAAATTAATTCCAGTACTGGGGAAAAATAACAGAATTAGGACATGTTCTTAGCCAGGCTTTGAAAGCAAGCATGACGTGTTGTTGAGGCCGATGGCTAGATTTATGTTAAATTAACACATAAAGCACCCCAGGAAATGTAGTGTGGCATGTCTTGATTGTAATTTGCTGCCATGATTCTGGTTGCTGAAGGTTTGTAGATAATCTGAAGATTTTCCATTTCCTGTTTCATTTGTTGTGCGAATTTGCCTCCCCCCTTCTTATTTAATGCATTACCCCTGTTGCCTCAACAGAGCAGCAGAACAGATAATAGATAGTGCTGAGGAAAGGCACCCTCCGCTCTCTACCTACAGCTTCAGTAACATGTCCATCATGTCACACACTTCTGCTGTTCAGGAATCTCTTGTAATGCTTTCAGGAAACACTTCACATCTATTCCCACACAGCGCACTTTAGCTTCACGTGTAGAACTAACATACAAGTAGGATTAGTAGGTTTCTTTCTGTTGGAGTTGCTTAGTTGCTTAGTTTTATGGTATCTGTAATGACAGGTATCTTTTAGAAGCCTCTGGAGGTTTCAGGACTACTAAAGCTCCCCATGAATATTTCAAGATGATACCACAAGAAGGAAGCTAGTGAGTTTTCCCCATTAGGTTTTTAGAGGGAAGGAGGGCAAATCCAGGAAATTCCATGCTGATACAGACATTAATAGGACGTAACAGTTGTGGAATCAAGCCCTCAGAAGTTAGGAAAGGCAAGAATCGCAGTTCCCTGGGTAACCTTAGTGTTTGCATGAGTTATGCTGC